AGATAAATTCTTTGCATTAAAACAAACATAATTTCATTGGGCAGAAATTAAAACTTTTAATAAAAGAAATTACTTTAGAATTTGTAGAGACTTTATTTAGGATTTGACCAAATAAGTTGAATCAGTTAATTTATTACCGCAAGTGAGGAAATGGCTTTATCGAGTTTTACTAAACGTTACTAGAAGTGACCAATACAGGATATTTCTTCCTGTTTATAAAGTCAATGGTCCTTATATACACATTTAGTTATTTAAAATAACGCCTCACTGATCCAGTTCTCATTTTGTTTGTTAGCCTCTGTCTGCGTCTGGTGGATCAGTCATCATCAGCATCTGCCTGCTGCACGCATGGCTGCTCAGACAGCAGAGCAGTTTGYGAAGCAGAATACGACAGGGGCAGGCCTGAAAGCCAGTCTGGTGGAAACAAACAGGTTTTTTTTAATCATAATCAGTCAAGAGAACAGCAGCCCTTGAAACAATTTATGATGTAAAAATGAACAATTATTAAAATCATGGATGATATAATTCTGATGGAAACAATGCAAAAGTTAAAACAATTGAAAAGAGAATGAACCAGACAGAATTATTGCCAATAAATAAAAAAACCTGCTAATACCAAGCATCCTTCTGATGCAGCTGTTTACAACATTAAAATTTTTAGAGATCAGCAATTTTTGACACCTCTGATTTACCCACTTAAAATGCAAAGTCTCTGCAATAAATAACTCTTTTTGCACATATTAGTGCATGTGTAACTCATGAACTAAGACTATAAAAACAGATAAGGAGGTGGCTGAAATCCCCACTGCGCAGTCCCTTCTCATTTCCTTCTACTGTTTGCACAGCCGCTGTGATAATAATAAGGACTTCTGGGTGATAACATTGCCATATCAGACGGAACACTTCCTGCATGTTATGACCACGTTAGTGACTATTGCACCGACTACACAGGTAGGCATTCTGCAAAACCAGCTACAATAAAGACCATTAACAGTGTTTCATCATTTAGGACACACTCAGTCAAAGGTTGCTGGTATTGACCGTCCAGCCAGTAGTGGAAGTACTCAGACAAAGAGAGTGATTAATTATTAAACGAGGCTCACTGCAACACATCACATCACATGCATTATGAAGCAGTTTGATCTACAGCACATCTTTAAAATCTATCTGAAATGCTGAATCAGCAGAAAAAGCAGCATTAGCTCACATCAACCAGGAACAGCTTGGAAAGCTCAAACTTTATTAAAAAACATTAAAATATTAATATGACTGTTGAGCTGCATGTTTCGGCAGATTCTGAGTTTTCTTGATGGTATATCAGCAGCATTAATTTACCAAAGTAAATCAAATGCATCAAGTTTGTAGAAATATACAATACTGTTCAAAAGTCTTGAGTCGGCTAGTAGTTTTTGGTGTTTTCATTCAGATTAGACACATCATTTTCGTAATCCTTGTAAGTTGTTTTAATGATTTATTTTCAGGACTTCTGGAGCTGTTTCTTTTTTTTCTGGCTCCTTTTACAGAAATTTTTAGGGCAGGACATTTCTAGAAAAATGTGTGTTTGTTTATGACGCCACTGACCTCTGACCTTTGAGTCATTCGGGCATAAAAAGCTCCAAAACTAAGAAGATGGACAAGTGTTGTGTCCTGAAGCAGATTGGAGCCAAAGCCGTGTTTCATGTTGCAAGAAAAAAAAAAGAGCCAAAGCCAGAAGAAATGCATTAAATGATATTTTGCGACAAGATATAAAAATATATTTTTGATTGCTATTCAAACTCATACTTCTTATATTCCTAAATGCAAACTTTTAGAATCTCTACTCTATTATTTATTCAGGTCAACTAGATCAAAAGCAGTTTCTTTGGCACCACGTACAATAAAATATGGATCATATTCAGCGGTTGGTGTTAAAAAACTAAGTGGAATATTTTATTTTATTCCTAAAAATAGGTTCTGATAAAGGCTGCGTCACACTGCAAGATTTTAAAACAGTCGGCCGATTTTCAAAGAYTGAGACACCTCCACACGTGAGGATAAAAAACCATGGATCTACCAGGTTTGGTCCTACAGTGTGTGGTGTACAGCCACATGGCAAGAGACAACACACCACACACAAAAAGATGTTTCCTTCACGAACATCCAGATGTCAGATGTGAAATCACGTGAGACTTATTGAAATCTCGCGAGAATTCAGATTTCAGAGGAAAAATCTCGCGTGACCTCCAGAGAGAGGTGAGTTCAGAGTAAATAAACATTTGCAACGAGGAAGAAACAATGTTGATCGTTTGTGGACTATCTTTACCATAAGAAAAACAATTCCATAGGACTTTTAACATCCAGCAGACTTTCTGGTGAGTCATGACAATTTTTTTGTCTTCTGTATTTTGGAATCACCTCACTTTCTGATTGGCTACACGTCTCATTCAACAGGCTGTGAGCTCGTGTGTTCTCAGGTGAACACTGCATACACTGTGATATCGGGCCAAAAAATCAAACGTTGAATATCACGGATTTGAGGTCGGAGTGGTCCCGACGTCCTTCCAAGGTGACTAGATCACTCTTAACACCCATGGCAGGAATATCTGCTACGATTATCTTTAGAGCCATCACAATAATCTGGATTCCTTAAAGAGTAACTTACCCCAAAATTAACTTTTTTTAGCTGATAAACTGTCTAGAATGTGTCTAAAATGTTATATAGTACTGTTTCTGTGCT